CTCCGATTTCTTTGCGTGTTTCGAATCCCCGTTTCTTGCTTTGCATCCTCGCGCCATCTTCCCTTCTTGCTGCGCGCATTTTCCCCATGTCGGACCCTTCGTCTTCCCCTCCGCCCAGCTTGATCCTTACCCCGCGAAGTGATTGGCCGCGTAGTTGGGATGCTCGGATCAATGTGGAGAGCGGGAAATCGTGCGCCACTTGAACGGACACCCCAATCAAGTAGGACCATGCCATCCCGCGGGTCGAACCCTCTAACTCCCCACCTTCCTCCTGTCCTGCTCATCTACAACCTGCGCTGCCCGCACCTCGCGCTGACAACCCGCCGCCTCCCGCGCTATAAATTCGCGCAACCCTCTCCTCTCTCTCTCTTTGATCTCGGCTGCAATGCTGCGCGAGCTATGCGCGAGAGTCCGTGGCGCTGAACAGGCTCGACGAGCCCAAGGACGCGCGGAGTGACGACGTGGGGTGGACCCGCGGTAGTCTTGGGGCGAAGCAGTCGGAGGGACTGAGCAGTGGTAGGGATTGGACGCCGGTCGCGGCAGGGCCTTGTGGCTATGGTGGTCGGTGGTCTTGGGGAGTTTTGAAGGCTGCGCCTGGGGGAGGCAGTTAATTGAAATTTTTGTGTACAAGAAGGACTCGCTTTTATCTCCATTGCTGCTTTGTCTATGCATGTCGTGTGTGTGAAGCCCCGAGTGATGGGAGTTGGTGGTGCGCACGAGTGATGTCGAAGGTCCATGGATGATTAGATGTCCTGTCAAAGTTTGTTGATTGCATGCATGTATGTGTGTATGTACTCGTCCGGGCGGGGATGGGGAAATTGAACTGGGGGACGTCTGCTTAGGAGTACGAGTGTGTTGATCCGGTTGTTCCCCTCCCCTCAGTGGTCTTTCCCGCGCTCGTGCGCGGTCTCAGCAATACTCTCTCTCTCTCTCTCTCTCTCTCTCTCTCTCTTTCTCTCTCTCTCTCTCTCTCTCTCTCTCTCTCTCTCTCTCTCTCTCTCTCTATTGCTTTCCTTTTTGGAACTGATAGTCATCGCCTTTTGAGCTTCTCGCCCCCATACCGGTGACGTCAACCGCTTGCGTCCGCGCGGACGGTCGACGCCCCCGCAAGGGGAGAGAGCTTAGACTTCGTCGTCTTCCCTCGACGCACCCACCTTAGAGAGAGAAGAGTTGCGACGATTGTTGTATGGATTCGGTGTTGGTTCGGATGACCGGGAACGCGGGACCTTGCCCGGGTTCATCATGTACCTCCGATCGTCTCATCTCGCTACTGACCTTCCCCATCGCAGATGACGACAACGTCTATTGCGATGAGGACGTACGGCGCGCGATGAGGCGGACGGAGCAAGTGTGTTGGCAAGACCCGCCTCGGGCTTGTGAGATAAGGGGGAACGGGTTTGTTTTGATTGATCGTTTTGATTCCCCGACTCTAATATTGCCTTATACGGGTTTGATGGTGTTGCCCTGGTCGGCCGCTCACGCCGCGTGGCAGCCGCAGTTTGATTGTCGCTGGTGTCGCCAGGGGGACTCATGTTCTTGGCGACGGCTGGTCCTGGGTTACGAGGGAGCGACACGTTTTTCCGAGCTTTCCCGTAGTGCGGGGGCGCTGCCCGCGCAATTTCGAATTCAGATGCCGGCGAGTCCTCCCGCCGCTTTACCCTCCTGGAAACTTTCGCGCGGACTCTGTGAGTCCGACGCGGAGGCKTGAAGGCCTCGAACCAACCAGCTCCACAGCAAAGACCCGAGGGTTCGGCCACTTTGTGAGGCCGATGATGAGGCCTGAAGGCTTCGAACCCACCACCTATCCCCCAAACCCCTGACGGCCGAAGTTTTGTCTTCCGCCGCCATGGCCCTCTCCCCTTGATGCCTTTTTCCGTCCCGATGCATGACGGCAGTTAATTTTCGCGGAAACCTTTTTGATTTTATCATTTCGGAGTGATCCGACCCCCACGGGACTCCGCGACGACAGTTCGAGTCCCTTCCTGGGGAAAACCTCTGGCACGAAACGAGGGCCTCCCGTTCCGTCCGGGAGACTCAACCCTTACGGCCAAAAATCCTCGGCCATGCCCCTCCTAGAACTCTGATCGGCGACCCCATACGGGAAGCCGCGAGGGGGCATGAGGTTGCATATCACAGGCCTCCCACCCCCAACTGCTAGGTTACAGAGTGGCACGACCCACCCCAGAAAACCCCCACCTGCTAGGTTACAGGGCAAAGCGACCCACCCCGGCTCCGGCCAGCGTCGACTACGTACCAGCTCTCTTCTTGACCTGGGCTGAATCACAAATTGCCAAGCTACTCTGCTAATCACGATCTTGCACTCACGGTTGCCCCGCCAAAGAAAAGCAGTGACCTGTCGCTGGAGGGTACGCAAGGTCTCTATGCTTAAGGACTAAATCGCTGTTGTGTACGACAGGGAGGCCAGCACCACTTTGTTGATGACGAGGGTGCGCCCCAGCAAGGAGGTATGCTTGTCCATCCAGAGGGCCAATTTGTCAAGCACCAGTTGCATCAACCAATCATTGTTCCCCTTGGGCACCTGTCTGCTGTTAGTGAGACACCTAAGACTCGGACCGCGGAATCCGGCAAAACCAAATGTCAAAAAAACATAGAAAAAGAGGGGGGGAAATCCTTGTCCAATTTCGTAGCGCGAGCAAAATATTTCAAATTTAACAAAAAGTCAGTTTGTGGGCACGCAAGGACAAGGCAGTTGCAGCACCCAATGTAATGACAGGGCACAAGATGTTGCAGACAGACAATATGAGTCTTCAAAGTATGTAAGGAGGAGCCTTCGGACCTCTCCCCGACAGACGGAAAAGTGAAACTTTAGGGGACAGGAGGAGAAGGAACGTCACCAAGCAGCAGCAGGAGACCCATGTTCACATCCACCCCAGAACAGGGGCAGACGTGGAAGATGTGGACTCTTCGACACCTCTCCAACTATTCACAACCCCAACTCCACCACACACAAACTTGTAGAACAATAGACACACACAAGGTATAATAGTCACAGCATCTTCATATACACATTCGACTATCACTGCCCATGACACTTGATGCACAAAATAATGGGGGGTTGCAGACACCTGGGATAGGAGTTCAGCCACCGGAAGCAGGAGGACAGCAGATATAAAGACTAGGCAGACACCATTCACCCTTTTGGAGACAGCATGATTCTCAGTCAGCTTCTAACGCAGCCTGCTCCAAAGGCCGAGCTGTTCAGGGCTTCAGTTAGCTGGATGGGCGTTCCTAGTACCAGCCCCCCCTTCACAGGCAGAGGAAACAATGCTCCGGCAGCAGAAGGGCAGCCCCATACAGAGTGAGGAGGTCCATCAGGCCTTCAGGAAGAGGACTTGGCCATCAGCCTGGTACGGGGAAGAGGTCTTACTCCCAGTACAAATTCTACAGGCAGTGCTCTTTCACCTGGTTTTCACCAAAGCTGGCTAGGGGTGAATGTTCTAA